ATCAATCAATCAATCAATCAATCAATTTTGTTTATAAAGCCCAATATCACAAATCACAATTTGCCTCACAGGGCTTTACAGCATACGACATCCCTCTGTCCTTTGGACCCTCACAGCTGATCAGGAAAAACTCCCCAAAAAAACCTTTAACGGGGAAAAAAAACGGTAGAAACCTCAGGAAGAGCAACTGAGGAGGGATCCCTCTTCCAGGACGGACAGACATGCAATGGATGTCGTACAGAACAGATCAACATGATAAATTAACAGTAATCCGTATGACACAATGAGAGAGAGAGAGAGAGAGAGAGAGAGAGAGAGAGAGAGAGAGAGATGCAGATAATAACAGTAGCTTACAACAACATTATTGAAAGTAATAATATTATAGTTATAGTTCTGGCTACTGTGGTACAATATGTTGAAAGTATGTAGTAATATCTGACAGTATACTTGTGTGACAATAGTCATATGTGTATAATAACAGTAGAAGTATGACTAATGAAAACATGGGGTGTAAAAGTTGAGCCTCACCGTCCTTGTTGACTCTGAGGATTTTGGCCGGGTAGAAACGACAGTCTGTCCAACAGGCCAGAACCTTTGTACCTGAAACAAACATCTGAGACAGAGACAGAAAAATAAAGTCCAGCACAAACACCACAACATGCACATACATACACACTCTTCTTATATTTTATGTCGTCAGCCCTTTTTATTCAGAGATAGTGCTATAGAGCCGCTATAAAGTCCCTGCTGTCTCACGAGGGGTGTGATGGGCGTGACATGTAACACAACAGCGTTGACCTCTAGTGTGAAATATAACATACGCACCAACAGCACTTTGAGATCATTTAGCGTCCCTGTTATATGGCAGCTGATCTCGTCCTCTGCTCAGAGGGTAAGGAGCTCCACACCTTATTGTTTCCCCTATTTGTGGACATTTTCCTCTACTGTTCCTTTTCTTTGAGTTAGCTGCTGACTGCTACTTTTTAAATCTCCCGCAGTGGCTTGCACACATAACACATCGTCAAAACCTCATGGCTGTGCCACCGTGATCCCGTCCTGACGGCTGTCCTGTTTATACAGACATTTGTTTTGGCGTGACAACGAGGTTTCCTCATTCTGCTATCATACCTTTCATAAAGAACAGTGAGGGCAAACAGGCAGTGTAAAAGGGGCTAATGAAAACCTTTTGACAATTTCAGTCGTAACCAAAAGTGTTAATCTCACACACACACACACACACACACACACACACACACACACACAGAGTCTGTGTCATACCGGCTGTGAACATGGTGGATTCAGACCCTGCCTCCTCAGGCTGACTCGCTCCAGCGGCCGCAGGTACGGTGAGCCCCAGTGAAACCATTCGTTATGTCGCCGGCTCCACTGACGGTAGTGGACCTGGATCCGCTCTTTGTCGTAGTCGATTTTCTCGATCGTGGCTGCGTACCTGACAGGACACGACATAATGCAAGATTTAAAAATGTCATCGCGTATTCATATCTTACATTATGTGTGTGCGCATGTGTGTGTGTATGTATGTGGTCCACACCAGTTCTTGTGGCGGTCTCGGGCTTCTAGCTGAGCTCCAACCTCAAAGGTGATCCCTGACCTGTCCGGGGGAGTCTTCATCTGGCAGAAACAGAGACAAAAAAAATACCCAAGAAAAGTTAAACTGAATAATGAATTATTTGTAACATGTTTTCTGTCTTATTGCAAAGAAATACAGTTAAATATCCAGGTAACTTTTGTACATACATTTAACACACTGTAGCGTTTATTCTGCAGTTAGTGGGGAGACATGTACATTTTAAAAATAATCACTCTGTCAGTTTGTTTGAGGCTGAACCAGTTTGGCTGATCAAGAGCTGAAGCGTCTGGTTTCACTCTGTTTAAAAGTGAGCATGAATCTGTCAAACATGCTAACTATGCCAGCAAAGTAGAGAACTGTGTAAACTTTGCATTCTTTGTGACATTTTTTTTCCAAAGATGTGCAGATTAAAGAACAGCATAACCATCTTGGTGAATTCCACAAATTCCATGGACAAACTCCCACTGAGTCTGAACGTGTCAAGACTCGTCATAATCCACAATTCACCAAAGTCAAAATGGGTCAAAAACATGCTTTTAGCTGACATGAAAATGAGTAGCAAAGCTGACATTTGCATTTGATTAATGCCATTGTTTCATCTTGTTTCTACTGAATATTAAAGTTTTCATCACGCAGGAGTATCCCAGGCATTTTTCCTATAATCTCTCAAAGCTGAAAATTATAAAACGGATCATAAAAAGGCCAGTGTTTCATTGTACATAATTCAAATTCAAATGCCAAGATTAATATTTGTAACCTAACTTTCAAGTTTAAGTTGCACATTGTCAGCTTATTTAAATTCAAAGTCAATCTATTTTTTATTTCATTATTATTATGGCACTTGTATGCTTAGAATAGACTATTTTTTATTTCACTTTGGCAACAATGCATTTTAAACTTCATGTGCATGCAGAGTGGAATTTGAGTTTCCATTTTATTAAATTATTTCTTTTTGTCATTGCTTCATATTCACCAACATAAGGTGCACTATTATTTTACATGACACACATTACTACTTTTCAACATCATGCGCAATATTACTTTTCAGTATCATGATCACTTGCCTGTGTAGTGCAATATGATTTTCTCATGTGCAACACTAATTCTCATTGTCAAATCACATACAATATAACATTGATCTTCAGGCGCAGTCTGTATTTTCCACCATTTTAGTTCATTTTTAATAACTCTCATATTTATCTTACTCCTGTTGTTACTCTATTAGGCACTGGTTTTTGCTTTTGCTCCTTGAAAACACTTTATATCCTGTATATTTTTAATATTTTGACTGATATTTAACACTCTATTGTTTTTAAAACTGGGTCCAGTGAGTGACCCTGACCTGGGGAACATGCTGGACCCAATTTTAAAAACAATAGTGTTAATTGTTGTTACAGTATTTGTGTTACTGTAATTTGAAGCATCCTCTGGCACAAGTATTTCCTTCAGAATAAATAAAGTTCTGTTGAATTAAAAGCACTTTACCTTACTTTCTACATTTCATGCCACTTCATACTTGTACTCTTCTACATCTCAGAGGTAAATATTGTGCTTTTTACTGCGCTACATTTGTCTGACAGCTTCAGTTACTCTTCAGATGACAGTTTTTTATCCCCTTCCTGTCCAGTGAAAACCAAGAGAGATGTGTTGAAGTTGAATGTTTGTGATAAACTGAAGGATGAAGTGTTCCTTTATGTGCTGAGAAATGCTTATGCTTCGTGAACTCTTTCAAAACCCTCTTGGATCAGCTGGAAAAGTCGTCACAAAGCTGAAACCTGGCTGTGTTTAGGACTTTTTAGAGGACGTGTCCCCCCAATTTCTGAAAAACACAAATTGTGCCCCCCAATTCTAAACAGCCTAAATGATTGAAATTGAACAAATGTATTTTCTGACTCCACATTCCCAATTCTAAAATAAATTATGTGATAAGGACAAAATAGGCACATTTTGTTATAAGAACATTTATTCCTATAAATATGGTTTGGTTACATAAATGACTGCATATGAATTTGTGATTTTGTTGGGTTAACTTGTCTAGTTGTCCTACTCAATGAGACTTTCTTACATGTTGTGCAAAATGGCAGATGAAAACAAACAAGGCACCTAACTGTAATGTGATGTGATAAGGACAAAATAGGCACATTTTGTTACTGGGATATTTACTCCTATAAAGATGATTAGTGAATGGATATGAATTTATTTAAATAAATCTGATTTTGTTGGGTCAACTTGTGTAACTTCTAAGTATTTATTGTGCTCTCAGAACTGTACTAACACTAGCATTTCTGGCTCTGTAAAAACATGATCAGTTAGTTTAACCAAGCTCAGTTAGGGGCTCATGTTCTGACAATCACCCATATCCACTGATGCATACAGTAGTCCTATATACTGGGAGAAAGGGAAGATGATGAGGGGAATTAAGAATCTGTGAGAGGCGAGAGATGAGAACGTGAGTGGACAGAACATGCCTGAGACCCTGAAACTAGAAGTAGCATTAACTAACAGCGAAGCAGTGAAAAGGAGGGTGATGGTTGGCTCCATGTGCTATTGGCTGTTTAAGAGAAATACACAGTAAAGGTAAGCATATGATTCTCTCTGTAGTGCTTTTTGAATGACTTGGTGATGGTGATGAGCCTCTATGAAATCGTGAAATATGCTGGCAATCTCAAGCGCTCTGCGGGCATGATTTGCACGTGTGCAATTAAAAAAAAAAATCATAACTGATTGTGTCCCCCTCAAACTTGTCATCAGATCTGCACCCATGCTCACAGGACAGCCAAGCTACACACTTATGATGAGCTTACAGACCATGATGCATTGCTGTAGATTAAACTATACAACAGTATATAACGGAGTTAAAATGAGCACGACCTTAAACATTTCCAGCAGTAAAATGACACATACATATTAATGGCATCACACATTTTGCAGATTATATAATTTGACCTCAGCACAGTTTTAAATGCAGAACTTTTACTTGTAGGAGTATATTCAGTGTAATATTACCTGCACCATGCATCATCTTTCTCATATTTGCTACAACCATTTCACTGTATATTGTATATATTTCAGATTGTCTACTTTACTATTTTATTATGTATTTTATTTTATTGTCTACTTTAATATTTTATTTTATTTATTTCATTGTCTATTTTAGTATCTTATTTATATCTTCATCTTTATCTCTTGTTTCCATTCATGCTGTATTTCTATTTCTACTTTGCACGGAGCATTGGAACAAAAACAATTTCCCCCCGGGGATTAATAAAGTATTCTGAATCTGAATCTGAATCTGAATNCGGAGCATTGGAACAAAAACAATTTCCCCCCGGGGATTAATAAAGTAATCTGAATCTGAATCTGAATCTGAATGAATATTCAACACCCTGTATTGATTTCAACCAAAGGCGCGCGACCTGTGACAGCTGTTCCATGATGACGTCGCGAGCGCGCGCATCGGCTTACTTCTGTATCTTACTGTAAAACGTTTTCAAACATTGTGGTAGAAGCGTAGAAATAAAGTGACAGAGGCAGCCATATTTTAATTTGATAACAAAGTTAAAACTATACAAGAGTTATGTCATTCAGTTTGTACGCTACGTCTACTCAAAGTTACGTGATGACAGGACGTAAGAAGTAACGGTTACAGCCAGACTTCTTAGATTAGTTTATCATTAATAATCATGCCTGTAACGATAATCTGAATTAGATCAGATGTACGCACTGAAACGTCAAACTGAAGCAGCGTTTAATCATTTATAGAAACTATTTTTTGACATTTCTAATCTTTTAACTTCCTCTGTAGACGAAGCTGATTGGCTCACAGGCCTCTGGGACGCCCGTTCTGAATTCTCATTGGCCGTACGTGCTGGCAGTCAAACGAGGAGCCCCGCCCCTCGGTAGCCACTCAAATATTTGACAGTGGCTGGCTAAAATGCTAATGCTAACCTCTGTTAGCTCCAAAGAGCAGCAAGAAATGACAAGAAGACGAAACGCAAAATGCTTCAAAATCATAACTTCGTGAACTCCACCTGCTCTGGAGAGGAGACGACGCCATGTTTGAAGTTGTTCATTAAGCTCATCCAGTTAAACAGTGTCAGTAGTTCTCCTCTCCATTGACTGGGACCAGATAAGCTAACACGGCTAACGTTAGCCTCTGCTCAGTCACACAGACTGCAGCGAGTTTAATGTCGCCCGCTGAGCTGTCATGGATGCAGACACCTTCATGAAACTCTCTCCGCTGTATAAACGTGATTGTGAGCAATAAATGTGTAAATGAGAATCACAAAATCTTGTTTACCTCTCGCGCTACTTGTGCACTGCACTCTTCTTCATACTGTGATGGCCGCAGAGCGCATGTGCGACGGGAGACGTTCAGCTGGTTTGTGTTTATCCGTCTGAACCACTGGAGGCTTGTGTTCAGAGATTCATGGAGCACCAATGTCAAAATAAAACTCTATGCAACCAAAAATGCTTGTAAGAGTTTTTAACAGAGTTCAGGCTGTTGTAATATTATGCATCATTGCATCCTATATTATTATTAATATTATGATAACCATACTGTAACATATAGGGTTGCAATTGTAGGAGATTTTATGGTATGGTATCAGAGAATATTGTGGTTTCTCGGTACCACGGTTTTACCAAGTTATTATTTTGTCAAAATTACCCATAAAGAAATGAAACCAGAGGGGTTAGTTTTGGTTAAACAAATGTTTCATTGCTATAACTGAAACTTGAAACCATTTATTTCATATGAAATTTTGTGTAAAAAGTAAAATAGAGTTGAGATTGACCGCTGCAACCCCTCTTGAAATATGTTTTTCCAATGGAAGTTTGTGTAAAAGGTCCCCCTTTTGAAAATGACTAAAAGTTGAGAGTCTCCGTCTCGTCCACAGTATCATAACCATCAATTTTAGTGTCACGGTATACCTTAAAAGCAGTATACCACTGAAATCTGGGTATCAAACTATACCAAGTGTTGGGAAGATTACTTTTAAAATGTAATAGGTTACATATTACAAGTTACCTTGTTAAAATCTATTAAGTTACTATTTCAATAACTTAATCAAATAATGAAACGTATTACATTTAATTACGTTTTTAATAAATGTTTTAAAGTGGCCAATAAAGCTAAAAATTCCTAAAAACATAACTGCATTAAAGTTGCGCTCAAATTTGCAGAAATATGCCAAATAAACTTTAAATCTTTTTACCAAAACGTGGATGTAACCAATTTGTAAACACCAAAATGTTGTTAAGTAACTTTAATTAAACTACAGAAGTTTTCATAGTAAGTGTAAGAGATTACAGTTATTTATTGTGAAATTCAATCACGTAATTTTGTGTGTTCAACCCCAGTTCCAAAAAAAGCTTAGACGCTGTGTAAAATGCAAACAGAATGCAGTTATTTGCGAATCCTTTTGACCCTTATCTAATTGAAGACAAGATATTTAATGTTCAAACTGATAAACTTTATTGTTTCTTGTAAATACACACACATTCTGAATTTGATGCCTGCAACGTGTTCCAAAAAAGTTGGGACAGGAGCAACAAAAGACTGGGAAAGTTGTGAAATGCTCAAAAAACACCTGTTTGACACATTCAGCAGGTAAACAGGTATCAAATGACCTGCTTAAAGAGTGTAAGAGTGAAACTGTGAGATGCAGTACAAACTTAGGTTTAGTAAACTATGTAAATGTACTATCTTGTTTACACATACACAGTATTTATAGTCATGTTAAGATGTTCAGGTATCAGGCATGGCCACTAGTCGGTGCTGTTCAGGCAGCTGGGAGCTCTTGTGGTTGGTGAAAAGGAGAGACAGGAGGAGTGCTGCAGAGAGTGAAGCGTGGAGAGGGATTGAGCAGGTGTATGGCTGAACGGATCTGTGTTCAGACTTCACTAAAGCTGTGAGGAAAACCAAGAGCATGTTGGACTGTTTTATTTGGGTGCCTGCTGTGCATCAGCAAGGCAAATATATATTATCCATCATCTTGTTCTCATGTCTGACACTGTGACACAGCTGTGCACAGACATGAGATCCAGAATTTTGTCCAGTGGTGAGATAAACATTTTCTCATCATAAACATCAATAAAACATCTGACCCCAGATCTATTGGAGACCATTCACCAGTGGTTATCCATGACCAAAACATAGCCCAGGTTGAATCATACAAATACCTGAACATAGACATCAACCATAAACTGACATGGAGTGTTCAGGTAGATAAGGTCTGCACTAGGGTCCAACAGCGCCTACACTTCCTCCGCAGGCTGAGGGTCTTTGGAGTCAGCCACAAAGTGTTGCTCCTCTTGTACCATGCCGTAGTTGAGAGCATCCTGCAGTATGGCATCTCAGCCTGGTTTCACAACCCCAGTGTACAATTAAAAGCTCAGATCACCAGGCTTATGCAGAGAGCCATGGAAATCATGGGATTCAGTTGCCACACTGCAGTATATCTTTGAGCAAACCATTATCAGACAGGCCCAAGAGATTATCTCAGACCCCACCCATGTCCTCCATCATAAGTACCAACTTCTCCCACGAGGCAGATGCTTTAGAGTTCCCCAGTGCAGCTTAACCGCTTAAAAAAGAGCACAGTCTCACTCTGAAGTAGTCGAAATCGCGACAAGGGCAAGTGACTTGCGGCAGCAGAAACCAACAAAATAGGCAAACAAAAAAAGGGTCGTCCTTTCACATCAGCATGACCTGTTGTCGTATAGTTTAATGACACCCAGTGGCGTCAGGGGTAAACACGCCGGGACAAGGACGAAAGTTAAGGTGGTGAAAGTCCGAGCGTGGCAGGCAGGAGGGGTGGTGGATGGGTCCAACAACCACCACCTTTCACCAGAGATAGCGATGCTCGTGAAGCCAAACCCTGTTCTTTTCTCCTAAACCCAACCACGTGTTTTTCGTTGAAGGAAAAATATGTCATATTGTGGTGCTTTAGCAACATGGTGCATTTATTTTAAGAGATTGTATGTAAATGTTAAATTTCTTGTGAAAACAGAAGTTTATCTTGAAAGACGATATGTAGACATTTATGATCGTGGATGATGAATCCTTCTGACTTTAATGATCACCTGACTTTTCCACGAGCTCCACCACCAAGAACCAAAAAATGTCCTCTCAAGTATATTGTCCCCAAAACAACAGTAAGAATCATTTCTTCACTTCATCTTGGGGTTTACAGTCATTCATCTGCTCATGTCCATCATTAGTGTAAAGAGGAAGGAAGCCAGATTATTATCTTTCAAACATAACTGTACCAACCAGAGAGAACACGCACTGGCTTCAAAGACCACATCCTCATTTTATAATGGAGACATATTCATTATTGACACACAGTATTTCTCATTTACCCGTGGATCTAACAAAGACGTGAGGAGCAGCTATGAGTTTGTTTGTTTTTCCTAAATATTTTTCTATTTCTTATTTAACCGTAAAAATACAAAATAAAAACGTACAGCTCTAAAACAAGCAATATAAAACACAAAGTAAGATTTCTACAAAGAAAAGGCAAAAAGCAATGTATACTGGAAGTGAACCATAAAAACGCAAAAGGAGCAACTGCACATAATTACAAAGACCAGCTAAGTTATACCATGATACTGGCATATAGGAGATTGTGTACAAAGATGATGCAGCAGTGGGGAACCAATGAGTGCAACTTTAAGACCCTCTGCAGAAGATTCCACATGCTGCAGACATAAATGCCCTGTGCGTTCCCTCGGTACAGACGATAAAAACATGTTCTGAGAACAGAGAGCTTGGCCATTTTCACTTTTTTGGTTAATGTACACTCATAAATATGCTGTTAGTAAGCTAAGAACAGCTTTGTAAACAAGAGAATGGCAATGAAAAAGTCCACGAAATTTTAAAGACAGCCGCCCAACCCAAGCGTACAGGATACAGTGATGAGTTCAGGGCATGCAAACACTGGGAGGGTGCATTCTTATGTGACACATTCCCATCGTCAAGCACAGTCAAGAATGTGGTTCTGTTGGCCTCATCACACCGTGACCTCCAGCATGAAATTGTGAAGCCAAGTGTGAAGCTATCAGGATTTAAGTCAGTGCCTCCAAATCTGAGGTCATGGTTCTCTGGTGGATTGCCCCCTCTGAGTTGGGGGAGAGTTACTGCCTCAAGTGAGGGAGATCAAGTACCTCGGGGTCTTGTTCACGAGTGAGGGTCGAGTGGAGCTTGAGACGGATCAGCAGTTTGGTGCGGCTTCTGCACTGATGTTGGCGCTGCGTGGTGAAGAGGGAGCTAAGCCAGAAGGCGAATCTCTCGAGTTACTGGTCCATCTACGTCCCAACCCTCACCTACGGTCATGAGCTCTGGGTAGTGACTGAAAGAATGAGATCGCGGATACAAGCAGTGGAAATGAGTTTCCTCCGTGGGGTGTCTGGGCTCAGCCTTAGAGATAGGGTGAGGAGCTCGGACATCCAGAGGGAGCTCGGAGTAGAGCCGCTGCTCCTTCGCATCAAAAGGAGTCAGGACCGGGGCAGACTGGGACACAAATTCAGCCTGGGACATTCAGGCGCACCAGCCCACACATTTCTACCTATAATCCTCTATATGCTCGTACACACGACACAAACGCTGTCCTCAGAATCAACTGCATCAGAAAATCAGCAGTTATTGTTTAATTCCAGACTATAAAATAAATGCAATAATGAATTGGCCACAAATGGCAATGTGCTTGTTATTTAACTTTAAATAGGAGCCTATGACTCTATCCTAATGCATCTCATTTTATGCACAATATAATTGTCTGCCCAGCCCAGTTTACATCTCCATGGCTCACAGCCATGAACTAAGGAGGTATAAATTGGGCAATAGGCCCTATAGTCAACTTTTAGTCAACTTATTACTACAACAAAAATAATCCCACTTAGTACTACTAAAAAGGTTCACATTGCACCTGTCATATTTCTGGTCTCATCCTCCTCCTCATCACGACTGGTGTTAGTCTGTCCCTCAGCTTCACGGTCCTTGGGACTGGGAGCACCACCTCACGTTAACTGCATGATGCATCCACAGGAAAAAAGCAAGCACATATTTTCTTTTAGTACAGGTTTAAATTATAATGACTTAATGCAATACCTAGTAGGCTAGCTGGCCTCTTGAAACAGACACCTAGAAGAAATATGCAATTTGCCAAAGCCAACCTTCCACATTACACACTCACGAACGTAAGCTAACGTTTACACACCTGCTATAATGGCACTGTCGGCTCTGTCGTTAGCAACACCAGCAGCCTCAGCCCATCAACCAACGCCCCGGCCAAACAGGTCGGTTATCTTGGAGCCCTTTGCTGCCTCTTCTTGTAAAGATTTAAAGCTGCAGTAGGTAGAAAGC